GGGCGTTTCGAACAGGCAGTAAGGTGTGCTGTGCCAGAATGAGACCGGACACTGAGGTGTGCTGTGCCAGAATGAGACCGGACACTGCCTGTAATGTATTATCACTGCTACGCCCTGATTCCTGCCTATGCGCAGTACTCTGATAAAATGTAAGATATGCTTATATGGGTAGTAGAATTACTGAGAAGTACCTTTGGTACAAAGTACAAAAATCTATTCAACAGTTAGCCCAATAGTGGATATGACTTAATCGTAAAACTATGCACCACGTGATAAGACTAACTGATAAGCTATATAAGGCATAACCACACAATTCAGTTAAATTACTGAATACATGAACGGGGTTTTTCATTACCAATAGTCAATAAGTCACATTGACATGCAGCATATCAAATTAGAACAATAATGTAAGATACAAAGGCATTAAAAACATAAAATCCTATTCGTTCCGAATATTTAATTTATGGTCAAAAACGAATTTCTCGCTGGCAACCAGTTGTGACTTGTAGCTGGCTGGGACATAAGAACAGATATATTTCCCACAGGAACCCGTCGGCTCCTCCTGCTCTTTTGTCACACCACTGCAATGACTCTGATTGGACAGAGATACTGACAAAAAAGTGAACACAGCTTCAGAATAAGGTGATCTAAATAGAGCAGCATCGCCAGCAGGACTAACTGACTAGTAAATCAGATTGCTAGGCAGATGACAACTCTGACTGCTACAAGGAATTCATTCGCTCTCCACTGAGCCTACTTCTCTGGATCCCCGGCAAACTGGCCAAAAGAGCAAACATTAAATATTAATAGCAAACCCATATGTCCTAGAAGTAAGTGTCAGCTATATACTCCTCATCAGTTATACTAGAAAGGACTAAAATTATAATCTTTATTTTTTACTCAACTCCACAATTCCTTTTGGGCTATCCCATTTGATCAGTGTTTTTTTTTTGTCCCAAATACATGAACTACCCGGTGATCGCAAAACACAATAGCCGACTTGCGAATTACGCATCAATAGTCACATACAAAGGAATCAAGACGAGGCGCCGTGCTTTTTTGTGAAAAATCTATTGTCTTTAGCACGGCGCCTCGTCTTGATTCCTTTGTGCACGCCAAAAGGCATGAATTAACTATCCGCATCTAATAAGATTTAGTTATCAGCTAACTAAGAATTCACTGGGGCATGAACACAATGCCAGAAAGGAAACTTGTCTTTGTTTATGCCTCACTAAATTCTTATTTGATAACTAAATCTTATTAGGCGCTAATTAATTGTTTCATGCTTATGTGACGTGCACTCTATAAGGTTATCTCATCATATAATTGTATGTTTTACATTAGGGCCGAGAGAAAGAAAGAAGAGGAAAAAAAAGACAGGAAGCCCGTGATTCTTTGTGATGCCTGCAGAGGAGGCTAATATAATCGTATGTTTTACATTAGGATTAACTTTTACAATCACTTAATTCAACAATACAACAACAACAAAAAACATGGAAGATTAGATATTCATTAAGCAAAAAATGATTAGAGTGCAAGCAATAGAGTGCAAACAATATATCTGTGAAACACTAGCTAAAACTATTTTTTACTAAATTTTGCTAAATTTAACTAAATTATTGCAAAGAAATACACAAGAAAACGCGTTTAAGAATGTTTATTTATGTGCGCTGCTGCAAAATCAAGACACAAGACACATCTAAAGCTAAAGGCTGATTTACACGGTACGATTTGTCGCGCGCGACTTGTAGTATAYGACTTGAATCGYGCAGTGTAAATGCCCCTACGACTTGTCTACAACA